TTACACAAAGCTCCTCCCTGGAGCTCAGCCTGCAGCAGAGCTCCCCTGCCCCGCAGAGCACCCCTCTCCCAGAAGCACTGTTTGAAAATGCGCTGAAGTGGGAATGTCTGAAACAGTAGGATTAGCTATGATGCAAAGTCAATTTTATTTTTGATATATGCAGCATTTGCACAACTGAAGGTAACATAGTTACTTAATTGTGGTATAGAATTGAACTATAGCACATATATGTGCCTGTAAAATATAAAATTACACCCTCCCACTCCCCACCCCTCTCTAAAGATGGCTGCCACAGCTAAGCAATCTTAGCAAAGGCAAATGGCTATCACTCAGCCAGTTTTATAGCTATCAATCTCCAAGTTAGTGTGGTAGTAGCTGAGAGTTGTCCTCAAAACCTTCTCTAGACTAAGCGTTTACAAGATGTGCACGTGGTAGATAGCTGGGACAACCATTGCAAGTCGATGGGTGAGCATTCCTTCAAGAAATGCTCGTCCTTTAAATATATATTCATCATGTTTGATATTTGAAGCTCTGCAACGTTTCTTGCTCTCACACCTGTGTTTTCACCTGACTCATTAGAATCTAATCAGCCTTTTTCATCTAATGATATTCGCCCTGAGCTGAGTTCTGCTAACGCGAAATGGCTCCACGGTTGCTAGTCTTTGGCAGGGTGTCTCCGGTCTCCTCAATGGCAGCCACTATTCTACCTCATATTCAAAAGTAAACACACACACACACACACACACACACACTCAGACTATTGGTCACCCAGCTTCCTCCTCAGCAGGACGTGTGTGTCTGTGCGTGCAGCCAGAAAATCTCACCTTTTAGGGACTCTGTGTGTGTGTCATTTGTTCGGTTCTAGGTGTGGTCTCCTCCTTGTGATGCCAGTGTTTACAGGAGCTGAGAGATGCTAAAGTTCTTCCATATTTCAGCCACTTGTTTATTTTATGCGAGCAGGATCTCGTGCCTTACCAAAGGTGGCGGTTAGGTGAAGTGTTGCAGCCAGGAACACGTTCCCGAGCTACAAACAGTGTTGCCTTTGTGTGTGTGAGTGCACAGGTTGTTACCCCTCACAGTTTCTTCCACTGATAGATATTTTTTGTTCTCCTTGTTAAGCGTTAGTGCCCTCTCTGTGTCCCATCCCGTCAGTTTTATTTTTCCCCCAATCACTCACCTAAACACACTTATATAATCAGGGCATATTCTGGAAACCTGAGTTTGTTTAAAGAGACTTTTACGGCTGTGAGGTATTGGTATTATGATAACTGTCATAATAACAGTTGTAAATTCTACGCCGTGTTTAGTGTCTTTATTTTTAACTTCACATAAAAGCTTTATAACTGATTACATAAGTCAAGTCACAGCTAATAAAGCATTGGGACCTGTTCACACTGTGACCAGCCACTCCCTGCACACACAAACACCAACGAGTGACGACAAGGTGCCGCTTTATGATCAGGCTGCTGGAAACGAGAAGAAACAAGTCAATCCAGTAGAAGGAGGAAAAATACATTTGTTTAGACTCCACATGATCCAACTGGTATTTATTAGTGATCAGCAGAATGACAAGAAGTTTCTCTTTCAACCAGCTTCATGTTGTAAAGATGAGTGATAACCTATTTGCCAATTTGATTTTCTGCATTTATGATATTCTGACAAGTCTTTACACCAAAATGTAATAAAACTTTATCATTATAACTTCATAACACACTCCAATTAAGATTGGGAAATAAAAACTCCATCTCCATCTTCTACCGCCTATCAGTTGTGGTGTTGCAGAGGCACCAGGTCCAGGAGAGAAACCCTGACATCCTTCTCTCCAGCGACACTTTCCAGCTCATCTTGCGGGACTTCGAGGCGTTCCCTGACCAGAGAGGATACATAATCCCTCCAGTGAATCCTGGGTCTTCACTGGGGCCTCCTACCACTGGGACATACTCAGAACACCTCTAAAGGTCCAGGAAGCATCCTAATCATATCCCGAACCCCCTCAACTGACTCCTTTCGATGTGGAGGAGCAGCAGCCACCCTACGAAGGAAGCTCATTTCGGCCTCTTGTATCTGGGATCCGTTCTTTTGGTCCTGATCTACTCCTCATGACCATAGGTGAGGGTTGGAATGAAGACAGACCCGTAAATCGAGAGCTTTGCCTTTCGACTCACCACAACCAACCGAAGCAACACCCTCATTACTGAGGACGAGGCTCCTATCAGTCAATCCAATAAATAATAAATACTGGCAGATTAAAAAAAGTTAAAACTTCTCTTTTCTTTTAGAGCTAAAACTCAGATGTATATGTCTTTATACGTCTCTTTAATATGAACCTCGGTAGGAGGAATTTGAAGAGGAAATGTCTGAAAAACCCCAGATATTCTCTCTGGGCTCTAAAGAATGACCAAGATCTGCCAGGAGTGGAGGGAAACACCACTGGAATGACTGAGGAAAGTCTGAGGGAGGAAATAGAGAATGATTTGAGGGATGAGTGGAAGGAGAGTTATGATAATCGGAGACAGGCAGAGGAAGAAAAAGTGGGATAATTGAAGCTGAGGGAAAAGAAAAAAGAGTCGGTATTTGAAAATCAGGCAGCCAGGAAGAAGGTGAAGAAAGTACTATAAGAGAGGGGACCAACACGGGGGTCAAACGCTTCCAGCACTGTGTTTCTGGAAACCATCACAGCACATGAATAGGAGCTTAACACATAAAACACACCACATTTAAAAAAAAGACATCTCTAACAGATGTTTTGCGTTCATTCTGTGGGCTTTCCCATAAAGAAGCACAGCTCAACTTCACAGATAAATGAAATCACCAGATGGGAGATTTTGAAGCTTGCGGTTAAATCTGTAAAAAAGGAGCAGATAACTAGTTTTTGTCCTTGTTTTTTTTCTCTCCTACTCCCATGATTGTTTGATTTCAGTCAGCTGCTATAACGACACATCAACTCGCTTTCACCTTCTGGTGCCAGCATCTACTCTTCCAGGGACACTGAAACGTCTAATCCCTGTGATTATTCATCATGTGCCATATGGACAGGACAGGACAGCTCAAAAGAAGATGTGGCCAAGAGCATGAATCAAACCAGCACATATGTTCCAACGACGTGTCAAATACAACAACACTAGCTTCACTCAAACAAATTAAAAGTCCTTTAAAAGGAGGCTATTATGTATTATTCAGCCACATAGTTCAATTATTTACTCAAGTAACTGTTACCTTCAGTTGTTCTGATAAAGCTATAACTACATTTAATCAAAGGCTCTGTCACCCTAAACAACTTATGCCAACTTAGGAAGATTTTAAAGACGTCTACGGTAAAGATGGAATTGAAAAAAATCAACAGGAAGCTTCTTTTTGGTGTATACATAATGTAATTCTAACAAATTGATCAAATATATAACTTTTATTAGCAATTTAGACAAAAAGTTTTTATACATATACTGGTGTTATTTATACATTTTCAGCTATTTTTGAATGAAAACTAAGGAGCAGCTGTGGAAACTGATCTAAGCAGAAATGCTACTGTTCTTATTTTAATTTTAGTTTCAATAGTTTAAAATAAATAAATGTACACCTACTAGTCATTATGTTTCTTCCATTCTGCACACTCATATCAGTGCAAGACTTTCTGTCTTTTAATAGTTTATGCAGATTATTGAGTTCAGATTGTGGCCTGGTTAGTTTTGCACTTTGTGAGTAAAAGCCAACAGAATAGTTTTTTTTCCCTTTCTTTTTTAAATTTTTTTTAAATTTGCTCCTTAAAAAATAAAGATCAAAATTCAAGGAGAAAAAAAATTAACAAAACAAGTCTATAATAGTGCAGAAAGAGGCAAAAGCCCAATGGGGTTATATTATGCCTCCAACCAAATAGAATAAAAAAATAACAATCCATCAGTTAAACCATCTTTAATTAGTTGATCGTAAAATACAATACAATCATATTAAATATAAACGATAAACAAAGAATAACCACCATAAAAAATATGAATGGAAATTTGACTAAAACGTTTGACGTAAATGTACTTCCTCAAGCTATATTACAAAAAGACTGGTTTGTTTCTCATATATTGTAAGATTTAAGATCAGAAAACATGAGGAAGAGGAGGAGAAACCACACGGTTTCTCAGAAATTAGCTGAATCATTTCCAATGAACTGCTGTAAATTAATTTTATAGAGATAGTCACCACATGACTTCCATGTGTGTGCTGAAAGTCAAAATCATCACAAGTCAATTTCTAAATGTAATGAAGACATGGGCGAAATATAAAAATATCTGTTGGCAAATAGGAGTGGTGGCTCACCTTTCTGGTCTGATCTTATTCTTTCTCATCCATCTCTTTTTAAAATTTATTTATTTTGTTACAGTCAGAGGATTTCATTGTTCCAGAGTTACAGTATATTAATGTTGAATGATCTCATCCCAGCTCAGTGTGTCTGGTGTAAAAATCACATCCATTTTCACCATGTTCTGGTTTTAGCTATTTATTCAATGTAGAGTCAAGTTAGTTTGTCAGCATGGCTGAAAATGACATCTGATGCATTTTAACTTCATATAAAGTAGCTCAGTTTCCAAATGTTTGCTTCTTTCTATGCAAAGTTCTTCGGTGTGATGTTTTCAGTAGTTTTTTTGTTAAATAAACGAATCTAAATTGAATCAAGCGGTGAGATATGCAAGTCAGCACCTCACTCCACTGTGAAATAGGGGGCGGGCCCTCCTCTTCTTCAAACATAAACACCGACCAAACCCCACCCCAGGGAGGAGGTTTTCTTGCAGAGCCAGCACTGCCGGTTCACAGTCAAGTCCACCCACTGTGAAGCCTGTGGGCGCTAACCTGATGTGAAAGTGTGCTCCGTAATGAGAGCAGTCCTGAAAACAGCTTCCACATGGCCAAATGTGCATGCCCAGGCAGCTGCCTGGTGGCCCTTAATCTAGGATGAGTTTGTGTCATCGGTGTGTGAGAAAAAATCCTAATCCATGTCTCTCTGTTTTTCTTCACAGTCTGCTGCAGTCTCTGATGGAGGTGAGTGATGACTTTTTACAAAGTTTAAATATTTGTTAAGGTTCTCTCATCATTACATCAACACTTGAGTTAAAAAAGCATTGAAACAGAAAGGAAATCCCTGCACTGAAGATTAGATTTGGTTGTCTTTTTTAAATCTCACTGCTGCTTTTTATGAGTTCACAACAAGCACACAGAAAGCTACAGCTTTTATAAAAGTTCTCAGTAAAGTACAGAAATGGTCCTTGTAGGTAAGTGTTGTGGAACTTTGATTAAAAATTTTTGATTAAAATAGCATCTTAATGAATATTAAGGGGCGAGGTTGGGCGTGGTATTTTTCCCTGTTGTTGACTTTTTATTTTAAAGTGAATCATTTCTTTGTGGAGCTTCAATGTTCTTCCTGTGCCTGTGTGGGTTGTTTTTTTCCCCTGGCACTCTGGGTTCCCTCTACAGCTTATAGGCATATTTTAACCCTGACAATCAAACCTGCTTCTAAAGAATATTCTATTAAAATAATTTAGGACAGTTCTGTCAAACGTTCAGATAAGAAGCTACAAAATACCTTACTCAGGTACATGTGAAGTGATGAAACACCAATTTTAGCACTAGATGTGTACTCTTTGTGTTTACTGTTAGTCTGGTTTAACCTGCTAGACTAGGTCTTTGCTTTTCTAAGCCTCATTTCACAGATTTAAATGCAGATTAACTGTACTTAAAGTGGTGCAGTGGCATGTCACGAATAGAACACGTCTTGTATAGATTGTATCTTTTTATTTGTGCGTAGTACAGGTCTGTTTTGCAAATAAGACAGTTGTGTCTCCATGAGACTGATATTTATGAATAAAGGAAATGAAATAATGTTAAATCAAGCAAAGGAATTCTTTTACTTGAATCAAAGATGGTGTTTTAGAGACTAGCTGACTTTTAACTCCCAGTTTAAAGTAGGAAATGTTTCAGAAAAATCAGTTTTAACACTTTTTTGTTGATCTGTTATGTTGGTATTTTGGTTTTGATTTGAAATCTCTCAGGCAGCATTTAGTTGCGATGCGGTAAGCTGTTGGTGTTGAAAAGAATTAGCATGTGTGAAAACAAAACGCTCTGTTTTTTTAGCACCTCCCAAATGTGCACGTAAGGCAAAGTATACAGGAGATGGAAGATAAAAGGAAAGGGAGGTGAGAAATAAGACAAGAGCGGGGTGAAGGCTGGGTTTTGGGACTCGCGCAGGATGCACACCAGGTATTTAGCTAGTGGTGAGTTGGGGCTTCATAAGGCTGCCATTTGGTTTCCCGCAGGGGCGGAGCCAGGGGTGGCCAGGGGTGGCCATGGGGTGGCCATGGCCACCACAGACAAATCTTTGACCACCCCATTGGCCACCCTGCTGTACACACCCCTTACACAGTGAAACAACCTTTAGGGGTGTAATAATCCTCCTGAACAGTTGGTGGCAGTGTTTAACAGTTTGAAACATTACCAAGCTCTATCACTGAAGAAGAGTAATGACAAGGAAGTGATGGTGTTCTTTATATACCGAACATACACTCACCGGCCACTTTATTAGGTACACCTGTCCAAATGCTCGTTAACACTTAATTTCTAATCAGCCAATCACATGGCGGCAACTCAGTGCATTTAGGCATGTAGACATGGTCAAGACAATCTCCTACAGTTCAAACCGAGC